CCATTTCCAATACAAAGTGTGGTCTAGGCACCCTCCATTGGCTCTCTGGTTAGCTCTCTTGAGGGGTTTCAAACACATAAAGAGCTGTGATTGGTCCATAATGGTGGGCCAATCATAGTGCTCTATCTGCTTAGTGAAGAAATCACAGAGCTGTATCTGCTTTGTAGGCCAATCAGGGCACTCTGTATGCCTGGTGGGTGGGATGATGCAACAGAGTGAAACAAGAATGTCTCATTCATTGTCCAGTGGAATGCGGAGATCACTTGAAAGACAGCCGTCAATGGAGCGTGGCCAGCCTAAGTAATAATACATTTATTTAGTCTATCTTGTCAGGCTAATACATTTGTCCTTCAAATGGCAATAAGGACCATTTCCCCTACATTTGTCTAGCAGATGGCAATTATTTGCATTTTCCCTACAATTGTCGGGCAAATGGCCAAGGATTGCCATTTCCCTACATTTGTCCAGGAAATGTCCAAACCTGCCATTTCCCCTACATTTGTCCGCCAAATGGCAAATTATTGCCACTTCCCCTACATGTGTATGGAAAATGGCAAGTCATTGCCATTTCCAATACAAAGTCTGGTCCTGACACCCTCCATTGGCTCTCTGGCTAGCTCTCTAGAGGGTTTTCAAACACATGAAGAGCTGTGATTGGTCCATAATTGGGGGCCAATCATAGTGCTCTATCTGCTTCCAAATCACAGAGGTTTATCCGCTTTGTAGGCCAATCAGGGCACTCCTTGTGCCTGGTGGGTGGGATGATGCAACAGAGTGAAGCAAGATTGTGTCACATTCATTGTACAGTGGAATGTGGAGATCACTTGAAAGACAGTGGTCAATGGAGTGTGGCCAGCCTAAATAATACATTCATTTAGTCTATCTTGTCAGGCTAATACATTTGTCCTTCAAATGGCAGTAAGTGACATTTCCCCTACATTTGTTTGGCAAATGGCAATAATTTGCCATTTTCCTGACATTTGTCTGTCAAATGGCAATAAGTGAAATTTCCCCTACATTTGTCCGCCAAATGGCAAATTATTGCCACTTCCCCTACATGTGTATGGCAAATGGCAAAGTATTGCCATTTCCCCTACCTCTGTCCGTCAAATGGCAAATTGCCATTTCTCCTACAATTGTCCAGCAAATGGCAGAATATTGCCATTTTCACTACATTTGTCCCATACATTTGTCTGGCAAATGGCAAGATATTGCCATTTACCATACATGTGTATGGCAAATGGCAAAGTATTGCCATTTCCCCTACATCTGTCCGTCAAATGGCAAATTGCCATTTCCTCTACATTTGTCCAGCAAATGGCAATATTTTGCCATTTTGTCTACATTTGTCCGTCAATTGGCAAAAACTGCCATTTCTCCTACATTTGTCCAGCAAATAGCAATTTGTCATTTCCTCTACATTTGTCCAGCAAATGGCAAAATGTTGCCATTTCCACTACATTTGTCCGGCAATGTAGAATGTAGGGGAAATGGCAATTTGTCATTTACCCTACATTTGTCTATCAAATGGCACATTTGACGTAACATAACATAATTTTGGTTCCATGTGTGTTATAACGTTTCTTCTGAATGTCCTAGAGAGGTCAGGTGTGTTTTAAAATACTCCAATTAACAGCCCCTACTACCAGAAAAAGGAATGGAGTCATTAGCACTTATTGTTTTTAAATGGCACCCAGAACTATGTCGCACAAAGCACAATTTCACATAATTTTGGTTCCAGTTCCCTGAAAAAAGCTTCAATCAGGCTGAAACATCACAGACAAGTAGAACCTATTGAGTTGTAAGTGATCTGAACTTTTCATGATGATAGCACCTTTCTACGGGGGACAAATGATGTCACAAAGGTCAACGAAAACAGCTTTGGGGGCTTATAACTTGGCTTGTGAATGTCCTAGAGAGGTCAGGTTTGTTTTAAAATACTCCAATTAATGGTCTATATCTAGAACAGAAGGAAAGGAGTCATTAGCACTTATGGTTTTTAACTGGCACCCAGAAATATGTCGTCGCACGCCCAATTTTCAGATTATTCTGGTTGCATTTCTGTGATACAAGCTCCAACCTGTCTGAAATTAACACATGTTGGACCTGTGAGGTCATGGAACAAGCAGAAACAGTTTCAAGTCTCTAGGTGGAAGAGAACCCTTTTTTTCAGCTGAAATCCATCATTTTCTCTGACCTCTGTGCCAGAACAGCACCGGAACAACGAGCTACGGCTACCAAACTGCCTGGGCTAGCTCGGGGTGACGGCGGCGTGCCAAATCGATGTTTGTTTGGTGAAAATTGGTTGAGAAATGCCACTTTGCCGAGCACATGGCAGAAATGGAGGGAAAAACGGAGGGAAAACTGACCACCGGGCCCAATGGGACACTTAAAACGATGCGACCGGCACAAATTCGAAATCTGTGGTTCGGGCCAGTACTGGGATGCACCCGATGTATTTTCGTGCGCCTCGGACCAACGTGGGCTGAACAGCGGACGAAAAGGGCCTCAAATTGGAGACCAAAATTGCTTTTACATTCATGTAAGGGAAATGGCAAAAATGCATGTGAAATGGCAGAAGGCCGCAAATGAAGCCTGAGCTAAATTTTCACACTTTTGGGCCGCCGTTTGAATTCGGTTTGGCGTAGCCGCACGAAATTTGGGGTGGTGCATCCCGGCTACCGTCTCATCCAAGCACGTCGAAATCGCGGCCGTCGGACCTTTTCGAGGGCCCTCTTGGGACGCGTGTCCGAGCAGATTTTGGCCCGCCTGCCACAAGACATATCACAAGCTCCAATCTGTCTGCAATTTACACATGTTGGACCTGTGAGGTCAAGGAACACACAGTAGCAGTTTCAAGTCTCTAGGTTGAAGTGAACCCTGTTTTTTAGCCCCAAAACAGCCCAAATCCATCATTTTATCTGCATGTACCAAGAGGCTGTGAACCTTGACCCTTCTGAATAAGCCAGCAACTTGAAAATGGAATATGTTATAGCTGTCAGCTATCTAAAGAAACAGTACAAGTTTCAAGTCTCTAGGTTGAAGAGAACCCTGTTTTTCAGCCCCAAAACAGCCCAAATCCATCATTTTATCTGCATGTACCAAGAGGCTGTGAACTTTGACCCTTCTCAATGAGCCAGCAACTTGAAAAGGGAATATGTTGTAGCTGTCAGCTATTTAAAGAAACAGTAGCAGTTTCAAGTCTCTAGGTTGAAGAGAACCCTGTTTTTCAGCTGAAATCCATCAATTTTTCTGACCTCTGACCCAGAACAGCACCGGAACAACGAGCTACGGCTACCAAACTGCCTGAGCTAGCTCGGGGTGACGGCAGCATGCCAAATCTATGTTTGTTTGGTGAAAATCGGTTGAGAAATGCCACTTTGCCGAGCACATGGCAGAAATAGAGGGCAAAACGGAGGGAAAGCTGCCCACCGGGCCCAAAGGGACACTTAAAACGATGCGACCGGCACGAATTCGAGATCGGTGGTTCGGGCCAGTACTGGGATGCACCCGATGAGTTTTCGTGCACCTCGGACCAACGTGGGCTGAACGGCGGACGAAAAGGGCCTCAAATTGGAGACCAAAATTGCTTTTACATTCATGTAAGGGAAATGGCAAAAATGTATGTGAAATGGCAGAAGGCCGCAAATGAAGCCTGAGCTAAATTTTCACACTTCTGGGCCGCCATTTGAATTCGGTTTGACGTAGCCGCACGAAATTTGGGGTGGTGCATCCCGGCCACCGTCTCATCCAAGCACGTCGAAATCGTGACCGTTGGACCTTTTCGAGGGCCCTTAAGGGACGCGCGTCCGTGCAGATTTTGCCCCCTCGGGGTCAAACGTGGGAAACCGCCCTCAGGAACGTCGCACGGACCTGGTTTTCGCACGGCACCCAACCGGGGAGGCCCCTAGTCGGCCCCCCAAGTGAAATTGCCCAAAAACTTTGGGAAAAGCAACTTTGCCGTTTCAGGTCGTGGGGTCGTCGTTTTCGGAGAGCACGCCCCCGGCGGACGGGGACGACCTCCCGCGGCCTCGGTTTGACTCCCGGACGACTTTTGGGACAAAACGTCGGAATCGGGAGACGGCGGCGATGGCCCGGGGAACGGCGGGGGGGCTAAAAAAAACCCCGAAAGGGCGTGACCCCATGACCCTACGTTCTTTTTGGCCCCCAAACTACTTTCCCTTAGCCCATCGGGCACCCGGGGACCTGCTGGTATGACCCCCCGAAAGCGCGTGACCCCACGACCCTTCGTTCATTTTTGCCCCCAAACTACTTTCCATTAGCCCATCGGGCACCCCGGGGACCTGCTGGTCGAAACCCCCCAACTCCCGGGTCAATGGGACACCCAGGGGACCGGGGAGCCCCCGTGGACCGGTGAGCTCCGTTGAGTGAAGGCAGCAGTGAAAGTGCATGGCAAATTCTACGGTGGAGCGTGATCGCCATCCTGTGGAATTTTTCGGTCGGTGCACGGTGTAAGCCTGATGGCAACATGTCGGGCTATTGACACGGTGACTGACGGGCCATTGGCAGAGCTCATTGCCATTGAGGCCAATTCTGTGCCGTGCAGCGTTCATTGCATTGGAGGTGTCGGGCCATTGGTCTGACATGGCCTTAGACTGCGGTAACGTTCAACGAACGTCTTTTTTACAGAGTCGTGATATCCTTGCGAATGCCTCTGATGGCTTCGGTCCATTACGTCGACAAAATACAGCTCAGTTATATACACTAAGCAAATCTTCTCTTTGGATGTTAACATCCCACCGCGCTCTTGTGCTAACTCGCAACACAGTCTGTTGAGATGCACGTGAAATTCTATCAACGTCGCTCCTCTATTGAGAGCATTGGGTAGCTCTTCCGCGGGATCTTTAACTTTTTGCGAATTGATAGACATTGAGGAAAAAGTTGATGTCTGGTTTTTTTCCCCGGCTACGTTCACGGATGAGAAAGAGAACGGTGTGTGAAACTGCATCTTTGTCTTTTTCATGAGTATCACCCAAGCCCCCACAATGCCTCTCTAAAAATGGTCCCAACCCGGAAGTAAGAAAAATTGCAGTTCCACCCTCATCCGCTGGGGGCTGGTGTCAGAAGCGAGCAAATCCTCATTGACTCCCATGTTAAAAATGCCGATTTCACAGCAGAAATAAACATGTTTACAGCCTGGTACCAAAACATGTTTTTTGTCTAAATTATCTAGTTTATACTCAAGACAACTATGAGGGGGGTGAATTTTTTTCTCACTCTTCTGTTTAAGTGTATTGAAAGCCTAAAATTCTGTATAATTAATGAGCATCCGACACACGTGACCGCCGCCTCAGACCCACGTGACCTCAGAGCTAGCTCCGTGGAAAGGCCTCAGTACAGCCTCGGCCCCTCCTGGAAGCTGTTTCGGGATTTTGAGTCTCTGTCCTTGTGAATTCTGTTTTGGATATTATTGGTGCAATTGTTGGACAAAATGACTTGCAGTGGTATTAATTGCACTAATAGAGCGTCCAAGGAGTCTCCACTTCATTTTTTTTCGGTAAGTTAAAATCTATATTCGTATTTTATGTCACTGCTGCCTTTAAACTAGCTGAGTTTACCAAAGTAGCTAGCTAACTATCAGTTTAACATGTAGCATGTACTGTTTAACCATGAAATTTAAATGTAAAATACGGTAAAATAATTAATAGGGCATATTTAGATGGGTAATAGGGTAAAACCCAGTGCATTTAAGATAAAAATGGGTTGAAATATGACGGAGCGCTAAGAGGGAGACTTCTGTGTCCATTCTTACATCCGGTAATCCCCAGCGGTCAGGCCGGGCAGCCTGACCGATCCGGCGCCTACTTGCTGCGCCTAGCTGCTGCGCGGTCTGACCGCTCGTGGAGTTTTTCATGTCTGACTTTAACCGCATCTAATACTGTATTACGGCGTGAGCGCAACAGCGACAACTTAATATCGATGTGTAAGCAGCCTGAGTGGTAGGGTGTTTTCATCTGAACCCTTAAAACCTCCAGCAGGCTGTGCTGCACTATTGACGTGTTAGCGCGCGGCGCTAACAACTTAGCAACGTGACATGTCTCTGAGAAAGCGTAAAACACGGACGCTTCTTCTGAAGCGGAAAATAACACTTCTTCTTAAGCAGAGCAGGATGTCGCCTCGGCTCGTTCACGGCCGAGCCGGACTGAGCTCGATAACATTGACCAAGCACAGCCACTGGGTCGTTGTAGCTGCCACCAGGCCTGCTGAAGGAACACCAGCGGGTTTCATCAGACTCGTAAATTTTCTTGTTTTTGCTGGGGATTTCTGTATTTTACCGCTCCCTCCTGCAGTCTTCCCCTATTAAAATTTAAAATGTGTAACTTTATGTATTGGGATGAATGACTAATATTCATGTAAAACTAAAACGTTAGGCATTTAGGGGGAAAAAACAAAATAATAAACATTATACAGATGTCAAATAAATCAAACTGTAATTAAACTATATATTTTCAAAGTCATATAGACAGCATGATGGTTTGTGTGATCCGCGCGGTTTCACTTACACCCCTTTAATGATGAGGCTGTTTTTTTTATTATTTTTATCAGCTGATAGCAGTTAAAATTATGGTAAAAATAAACTTTATCTGTGTTTGATAACTTAATGCCCAGGAAGAGCATCTTCTCTAGACATTAAATATAACCCAAATGTTTTATTATGAGCAGATCTGATGAAGGTGTAGACAAGCAGTCTGCAAAGTAAAACTTGTTTAGAGTCCAAACTCTTACTAAAGCTTTTTAAAAGAAAAAATGGTTGAATTTTGAGAAATATCCACAACAGGGGAGCGAGACCTCTGAAAAATGTATATTTTCTCTGAATTCATAGAATAATGTGAGGATTCTAGGAAAAGTTGGGATTCTGAGATTAAAACGTAAATCTATCTAATCATAATTCTGGCAGTTTTTGTGTCCTTCTGCTGTGGAAAGTCGTGCAACATGAAGATACTGAGAAGATGCTTACAACCTGTATTTTTATTCCATCCATAAATAAAATCATGAGCTATTTCTTTAATCCAAATTTGATACAAAGGGCCATCGTTGGTTCCATTCCTCTAATCTTAAAGTCATCATCAGTTTCTTCCTTTTAACAAATATTTATTTGTTCAAATATTTAATATTTATAACTGGAATATTTGTTCCTCCCTCTCCCACTGCAGTTAGTCCTGTCCTGCAACCCTGTTTTTGCAGCTTAGTGAAGCCAACCATCACTAACCTGGGGGAGGTTTTGGACCCAGAGATGCGGATGGACTCCCACATTAGCCAGGTGGTTAGATCCTGCTTTTCCCGGCTTCGCCAGCTACCAAAGATGAAGTCCATCCTGAAAGACGTGTCATATTTTCTCCCCAAGCCGGACCTGACCGTCATGTATCGGTCCAAAATAGTGTGATGATATTGTGTTTTTTGTACATAACAGACTTTTTAACTGACAAATTTGTCGCATTCTCCTACACCTCTTCACGGGCTCGCCACAGTAAATATTCTATTTGGCGAGAGATAAACCTTATTGTATTTATCCTAGTGAATCTATAATTAAACGGGTAAACTAGTAGCACCACATCCAACATCAAAGAAAGTAAAATGTTACTATCAGGAGAGGGAGAATGTTTAAGTGGTTAGCAGCAGTGTGCTAGCCGATGGCCCCCTCCATGAGGCCACCACAGCTCAGCAGAACATCATTGTAGCTTCTTCTGGGGAGAAAAACACTTGGAGAAAAAATAAAGTTAACAGCTGAAATAGCAGGAAATAATACAGTTAAAGAGCAGATTGTAGAAGAAAGAAACCCCTGGGTTAAACTGGTCTGTCTACTGCATAATGCTGAACTCTAACATGTGTCCTCAGGGAAGGACCTGATTGGTGTCCAGAACCTGCTGAAGAAGCACCAGGCTCTGCAGGCTGAGATCACAGGTCATGAACCTCGCATCAAGGCTGTCACCCAGAAAGGAGAGACCATGGTGGAGGAGGGTAGAGCAGGTCTGGTCCTGACATGTTTCTGAGGTGTCTGCAGGTTCTGGCTCACTTTTTTTGGGTCCAGGTCACTTCGCTGGTGAGGAGGTGAAGACTAAGCTGTCAGAGCTTCATGGACGTTGGGACACGCTGAAGGCCAAGGCGTCCCAGAGGAGGCAGGACCTGGAGGACTCTCTGCAGGCCCAGCAGTACTTTGCGGATGCTAATGAGGCCGAGTCCTGGATGAGGGAGAAGGAGCCCATCGTTGGAAGTCCAGACTAAGGGAAAGACGAGGACCTGGCCGAGGTATGGAAGTCCCTTCCTGAGAAACTCCAATCGCTTTTCTTTGCTCTCTTTCCAGTCATTCATAATTAGTGTTTCTGTATTTGTCATTTCCTTCGGTTGTCTACCAGACGTCGTTGCTCGTTTGAGCGTCTCATGGGTTAGGGGTAGAAGTGCTGGCCTCGCACAGGAAGTGATGACAAACGTGTTCCCGGCGCTCTTATTTCAAACGGTTTACAAGCTGTGATGTGTGTTCCCGCTGCAGAGCAGCCATGACACGTGGCAGCCGGCAGAAGGCTCACGCTTTTCCACTAAACACCCGCAGAGCTGCGTCTGCGGTGAACTGAGCAGGGTTTGTTTTACGGTGGCGGATCCGATTGGACCATCGCTGCGAGAAAGCTCCACTTGTGTCAGACGAGCTGAAGGTTCTGATGTTCTGCTCCACAGGCTCTCCTGAAGAAGCACGAGGCCCTGATGTCGGACCTGTCGGCTTACGGCAGCAGCATCCAGGCCCTGAAGGAGCAGGCCCAGTCCTGCAGGGTGAGTTCAGAACCCTCGGCCCGTCAGAACATTCTTATCCACCACGCTCTAACACCAGACCTGTTAACCCGATAGCAACAAGGTAATCAGCAGGTGCTTTTGTCCTGCAGGACCTGAAGGCCAACGAGTCCCGCCTGAGGGACATCAACAAGGTGGCATCTGAACTGGAGTCAGAAGGTCTGATGGCTGAGGAGGCTCCTATGGTTCAGGCTCAGGTGAGCGTCACCTGTCTGCAGCAGCTGGTCCCTCTCACTTCCTGGTTTAACTCTGCTCGTCTCTGTTTGTAGCAACAAGAACATCTGGGTTCTGCTCCTGGAAAGGTGCATGTTGTCCTCCGCCTCCACCAGAACCAGACGTGGTGTTTTTGTTACCACTCATTTGTTTGTTTGTTTGTTTACAGGATGAAGCCGACTCTAACACGGCGTCACCCTGGAAGGTGAGTTCATTCAGCTGATCAGAGGTCACCTCTGATGGCAGCAGTCACGGCCGACCGTGCTGACATCACACAGGAATTCAGGTGACCCGGCAGGCACCAGGTGCTGGTGAGAGTGGGGACATGTCAGCTGGTTGCCATGGCTACAGTTATCTTTATGCATCTGTATGACTGCTGACTGGTGTGTGTTTCCTGTGACCTTTTGTTGGGTATTTTTATAAATGTACCTTTATGAGACCTAAAAGATGCCCATTACACATCATGAATCTGTGTTGGCTGTTCATAAAAAGGTTGAGCAAAGATGTTAATTGAGAGAACTCTGTAACTCTGTAACTTGAGAAGGTCCGCCTTCTCCCCCTCACCCGTTGCTTGTGTAACGGAAACAAAGTGATGTAACTATCTAAAGTTGTATTTTAATACACTGTTAGTAGTTCACTTTTTATCAACAGAAGAATAGGCTGTTTTTATCATCAGGGAGTTTAATTAAACACTCTGTATTGACTTTGAGACAATAAAAGAGAGAGAGATGGGATCGTTTGAGAATCTTTAATTTCTGAATTATAAATTCTAAACAATCTACCAGGACTAACTCTGTGATGGATGAGAATGGATTCGGATGTTGTGTTGGTGCGTGTGTGTGTGTCTGGTTCAGATTCTCTAGGATGACGTAATCGAATCTGGTCGTCTTTGTTATGACTAGGTATCACGAGGCTTATAAAGTGATGACATGAGCCGCTATTTTGCCGTGTACGTACCCAGTGGGGGTCTCCCAGGTAGATCAGGAAATGTCAGGTCTGGAGACCTCGGATGTACGATGGAGCTGTCGGTGCAGCAATCACAACGTTTCAAAGCCCGTCTGGAGGGTCGACCCCGGTACCGTTCAGCGGCGTCAGCAGGTGCTCTTATTTTGAAAGGACGTCATCTGGTTGTTAAACCACGAAAATCTCCCGTTTCACAGTTCTTAGTTTAAAGAAGAAAACACATCTGGCCAGGCTGCGCTTTTCTTTAGGATGATGGTGACTAGAACTGAAGTCAAGATGGAACTGACTTTAAAAATGACGTTGCCTTGTTTTATATCTCTGAATTGTTGATAAGTTTCAGTAAAGTGGATTGGACACTTGAAGTCAACACCAGATTCTCCTGCGGCAGCCGAAAGCTCTGATTGGTTGGAACAATGTGTCATGCGTTTCTATGGAGATGAGGATCAGTCTGTCTGTGCCGTAGTCCTGGTTTCATTAAACATAATTCATGACATATTTATTTCACAGATCATTCACTTGATTATTGTTGATCAACATCTGTTTTGCTTAATAATTTTAATCACAAATAAAGTACTTTGATTAAGTAAAGCTTCTTCTTCTCCTTCGGACTCTTCTCCTGGAATGTAAACAGTCTGAGGAACACCCGACCTTGGTTTTTCTACACGGTGTTATTGTGCCCAGGGGGCAGCTGTATGTAGTTGAAAACAATGGACTTCATAACCTTACACTTGAATAAAACCACTGAAGACTCTGAGGAAGGGGGAGTCGCCTGGCAGATAGCTCTGGAGAGAGTTATGTGTCATGGTGATCTCCCCCCATTTGGCTAATTCAGTGTAAAATGTCTTCCTGGTTGTCATGTGTGTTTATTTCAGGTTCCAGGGCTATGGAGGTTAAGTATTATCTACCAGATAATTGCAGAATGCAGGTATACAGAGCAGGTGAGGAGAAAGCTTTGAAGGCTGAAGCAGAGTGGGGCCTGGTTGAGCCACACACACATGGACATTACAAATAATCAATTTACTCTCTCTCTATCAAAGGGTGTGTCATCCTTTAAGGTAATATGGGATAAAATCAAATTACCTAACAAGTGGTGGAGAATGCGGGCAAGGCAGAGCCGTCGATGGGAAGCTGGCTTCAGGGAGCCGTACAGGCGCCACTTACCTCACCAAAGCCCGGGGGCTAAAATTGTCTCACCGGCCAGCTTTTTAGCCTTTTAGGCAGATTCCCATTCAAGCTCTCGCCTTCCCGAACTCAGGACAAAATTACCACGGAGAGTAAGTTAATTCATTAATTCACTAAGCTAATTCAGTAATTTGTGTCTGTTTCTTTAACCACTGGCAGTGTGGTTTGAGTTGATTGAGGAGGGCCAGTTGCAGCCGTGTGTGTGTGTGTGAACCTCTTGAGTGTATGAGAAAGTTGATGACCGGAAAAAGACGTGTGAGATTGTTTTGGCTAAAATTGGTTTGAGTCTGTTCCTGGTAAGGGGAGACGATGGGATCAGCTCTGGTGAGCCCCGTAGAGCAGAGTTCCGGTGGGAGATCGCTTCGCAGCTGAATAGCACGCTGAGTGAGTACCTAAATTAAATTGCACCTTTTTCCTAATAACTGGGCGACAGTGATTTTACGCTGGTAGTGATTTTTTGCCATTCACGCACGAAAGACGTTTCGGGCCCCGGCAGAGGACTGGACTGAGAGTCGCTAGACGTTGCCCTGGACTCCGTTTGCTTCTGAGGGAACAGAGTAAACGCGAGGGAGGTTGCAATTTGTCCATGTCAGCGAACATGGACCCCCCACGATGGACTGTGGGTTGTAATAGAGTTGAATGTGCAGACTCACTATGTAAGTTCACTGTTGCTGGAATGTTAAAATATTTTACGGTGCGTACACTAAAATTAATCACCGTTATTTGGCTTAAAGATCTCAAATCGGTCTAAATTTCCGGTGTATGTTATGTGTGTTGTGATTTTCCTGGCGTCATGGGCTGCGTTCCATTTTGCCGGTTTCCGCGTTGTGTATTGTTGAAAGTTGACGCTGAGGACTGGCATGGTAATTTCTGACAGAGTTTTGCTCCGTCTGTGTATGAGTAAAGGTTTTTGGGCCTAACCGGATCTGGTCTGATCTGGGGGGGGTTGTGTCTAAGTTCTGAATGTGTGTGAGTGAAAGCCTGCAGGTCCATTTCTGTGTGTGTGTGTGTGTGAGAGAGAGACGTTTTGGGCCGAAGTTCTGAAGCCTGAATGTGTGTGAATGGGCCGAGATCTCTGAATGAATGAAAGGTCCCATTACATGACAATGTGTGTGACTGAGGCTTTGAGCCTAGTTTGTTCTGTGTGAAACCTGCAGATTCTAGATAGTCTATGTTCTATGTTTCTGTTTTGTTCTGTGTTGTCTTGTTCTTTATTCTGTACATGTATGAATAACACTAACATCCTGTGATGTGTAAGTGTGGGTCAGAAGGCTCAGGTGTGTGTGTGTATGTGTTTCCTAAGAGAAGCTGGAGAAATAGAAGAAAGGAAAAGGAGGGGTGAAGGTTTGAGGGGGTGTATGAAGAGACAACGAAGTGTTATGGGGGATGGTTTTGATAAGGCTGCAGGCCACTAACTGTTTGATGGTTTGGTTAGGAAGAAATGAGAGGTTAGCAGAGAAGGTTAAGGAAAAAAGCAGACAGATGGAGAAAAGACAGAATTAAAGAAATGGTTGAAGAAACAGAGGAGGCAAATAGACAGTTTAAAGAAATGGTTGAGGAAAAGAGAGAAGGCAAAAAGGAAGTTTTAAAGAAATGTTTGAGGTGTGATGATTAACTAAATACTATCTGAAAAAGTCATTGCTCGTATCTGCATGATAACTCGTACTAAACTAGTAAACAAAATGACTTGCGTAGATAGAATGTTAAGGAAATACAGTTAAGCAGGGATAAATACATCCGTCCTAAGTAAATAACTCCCTCAGCTTCACCGGCTGAATGAATGCCCAAATATGATGGAGATGATTCACGCGATTGCCTCAAGTTAAATTAGATATTCTGGTCTACAGGCCTTTTATTATTTTATTAAAATAAATAAATACTCTTTCTAAAAGATCATGTAGTTAGACCTAAGTAGTTCCCCTAATCTTTTATTGATGAATTTGACCCCAAATTACAGAATTAGAAGGGAAAATTCATGATTTTGTGTTTTAAGAGGCACATAACCTTATAACTAGCTTATGCCATTTTAAAATGACAGACTCTTTGCTTATAGCTCTGGTAGATTAGCTGTGCAGCAGCTACTCTGGATCCGAAGATACCTTTTGCTCATGAACCAAGATTAAAAATACAACTTTGCAGTTTTACTTTAGTGGGTTATGATCTTAGGTAAATAGAATTCTACACTATGCAGTAACAGTTTTTTATCTCAGCATTTTATCATATGACTAAATCATGTTAAACTTGGTGTTTCTGCCATAAGACTGGCTTTACAGGAGGGTGTTTAGATTTTTTATGAACCGTAAAAACTTCCCGTTAAATGTGTCTTATCGACCATTGATAGATTTAATTTAATAACATGATTGAATCAACACGGTGCTAGATTTTTCCTGTATGCTATTTCTATGCAAATCTTGTTTGAAATGTAAACATCAACTCAGCCCCTACAGACCATAATGCTGATCGTAGTATGTTATTTTACTCAACAGTAAGGCTGTTTTGTAACTATTTCAACATTTGAGCTATTACCATCATTTCTTTTCTGTTTGGGTTATAAGGTTTGATAAATCTGAGTGACTTCCTTTTGATTAACTTAGATCCTGTAAATGTGTGAGAACCCTACTTCCACAGGAGGGGGTGGTGTAACTGATAAAGTTTTGATTACCTTACAAGCATAGGCGTCATTTTAACCGGGGACACCGGGGACATGTCCCCGGCAAAATTTGTGATTGGCAGCTGTGTCCCCCCCACTTTCAAAAAAGCCTGCTGATGAGGATTTTTGTTTTACCAGCTCAGGGGTCGGCAACCTGTTCCCATCAAAGAGCCATTATTACCCGTTTCCCACAGTAAAGAAAACACCGCAGTAGCCGCAGCGTTGTGGGCGGGGCCTATACCCCCAGACAGCAGAGCGCTGCTCACAACAGGTGACAGCAGCAGGTACCGGTCGCTCGCATGGGCGTCGCACCCGTGGGGGATTCAACACCCACACTTTTCCAGCTGTTTTGCTCACCTCCACACCAGTCTGGTTTCTTTATGTCGCACTCTCACTCTGTTTGCCTCATCTCCTTCTTCACCTCCCAGCCGATGTCGGGTTTCCAGGAGAGCAGGAGAGGGAGGGACGGGAGAGCTCGACTGAATTCATAATTTTACATCTTGACATTAGCTGTACAAAGTCTGAGTTTGATAAAGTGAAGAACAACAATTTGCAGAGGTTTATAACTGGCGCGGTGCCAGGTTCTCATTTTTGGGTGGG